AAGCTGTACCAACCTGCCCTCGTGGAGCTTACAGCCATTAAATACGTAATTGCCAAGGTGTTGTTGCAGGAGGTCATCGAGAGGATGTGACCACTGGTTGACCCTGGAGGACCTGGGCAATCAGAGGCTCCTCACCCCTCCCCTGTTGTTGGAATGTTTGTTGTGTCCACTGTTCCCACAGTGGGAGCCATTTTTGACGACATGACCTTCAGAATAGTAAGGTGTTTTTGAGACCATCTGGACGGTGTATGTGACTGAACCCAGGTAAGGCCTTTGTATAAACTTTTACGATTCTGGTGGACAGCAGAGATCTACTCATCTTGTGGCCTCCCAGGACAAGCCTCGTATGTAAGACCCCTTGCTTATTAAACTTGCCACCTACCAATCTGGAGTGGTGTGCCTGTTTCTTTGGTCTCTTCTTGCCCTCTGTGTGTGGGGCCAGTTTGTGAACTAACAGGTATACTAGCGTGGAAAAGACACAGGTGCTTGGAGAAACTAAACTAGTCTAGGAAGTCAGGAATGACTTTCTTAAGGAAGTGAGACTTGAAAGATGACTAGGAGTTAGCAAGGTGGGTGAGTCATGGGGTAGAGATGGAGACGAGATTTTTCAACAGAGAAAAGGCTCAAAGCAGAAAAAAGAGCATGGTAAATTCACAGAAATTAAAGGAGTCCCTCAGGAATTCATTCATTCACTCACCAAATACTTATAGAAAGCCAAAGAATACCTAGGCCTTAGAGAGACACTTCAGTAAACAAACAGACAAAAGTCTCTGCCCTAATGGAGCATATGTTTTAGAGGGGAATGGCTTAAAAAATTAAACATACCATGTGTCAGATGTTATGTTCTTTGGAGACAGCGAAAAGAGTGGAAGGTAATATAGAATTCTGTGGTGGGAGGCAGCTGGAATTGGAGTTTTAAAGAGGAAATCTGAGAAGTCTTCATTTACCGGGTAACATTTGAACAAAGACCTGATGTAAGGGAGGGAGCAAACCATGCGAATAGCTAGGTGAGAGAGAGTATTAAAGGCCAGGGCATGAGCTTTGGCTGCCCAAGATTCTGAAGGAGGCTGGTATGGCTAGAGAGAGTACCTGACAAGGAACAAGGGAGAACTTGAAAAGCAGGGTCCCAGAGAATGAATAGGGAGTAAAATCGTGCAATACCTGGTGGGCACTCAATAGGGCAAAGGCTTTGCCAGCAGAAATGGAAGGCCATTGGAAGCTCTGGGCCCGGGTACCGTGGTCTCACGAGTGTTCTAAGGTGATCACTATCTGTGGGGTTGAGAATAGCCTGTAGAAGGGAGTGTGAGAGGGGAGTCACTTCATCTGATGTGGTAGGAGTGGTAGAGAGGACCAAACCACCGTGAACTTGTAATCCAAGGTAAATATTTAGTGCTATAGCCCCTGTTTAAAAGTCTTTTAAAACAGGGGCTATAGTAAACAAATTTCTGTGTTCAAAACTGCACCATGGAGTGTGGTAGCCACTAGCCACATAAAGTGATGGGGCACTTGAAATGTGGCTAGTTTGAATTGAGATGTGTTGTATGTGTAAAATACATATCGGATTTCAAACACTTGGTACAAAAAAATCCCTCAAAAAATGAAAAATATTTCAATAGTTAGATTATATGTTGAAATAATATTTTGAATATATTGACTTAAAATATATTATTAAAACTAATGTCACCTGTTTCATTTTAGTTTTTTAATGTGACTACTACAAAATTTAAAATTATGTGTATATGGCTCACTTTATATCACTCTTGGACAGAGCAGGCTTAGAAGAGCAAGCTGTCTGCAGAATAGATTAAAGTGAGCAAGAATGGATGTTGAGAGACCAGTTAGCATATTCTCAAGAACAACTTTGAACATCACTAAGCTATTCTAAGTATTTTAAGAGATGTTCTAAGCATTCTAAGAAAATTCTAAAAGAAGGTGACGAATTAGCTAAAAACACTTCAGATAAGAAATTATTTAAATTCTTGTTTTCTACTTAGCAAAGAAAACAAATAAAAGGTAACAATGTTTTGCTGCGCAAAATTAAGTTATAAGCAGGCTACTTTATATGCTAAACCATGTTTATGGGTGAGATTTGAATGGCTGATAACAGAAAGAAAACGAAATGTTTATAGGTCTGGTCTATGTGTCTTACAGGTTTTATATCTATAAGTATACATCTATAGGTTTTATGTCTTGTGTCTATATGTACATGTAATAAACTTTTAGTGTAGTCCTATAGTGTACACATTCCTAATTAATTTATTTCAAAATAATCTCATTTCAAAAGGTAACTTAAAAAGCCTTTATAATAATAGTTAAATTAACATTGGAATACATAGAATACAAGCTCTCCACTTAAGTTTGTACATTCTCTATAAGTTGGTTGATTTATTAGATTTATAAATATTGTAATAGATTCGATAAAGATATTATTTAAATTTCTAGTTGAGTTCAAAATTTAAATTATTTGCCAAAGTATTACAAATGTATTCTATGAAATATTTTTGGTTTTTTAAACAGCATAATTAAGTAGAAAATGATAATTTTATTGACAAAATATATATAGGATGAATTTATTGAGTATCTTATATTATCTTGTAACTACTATGTCATAAGATTAAATTTAGAAATTAAATATTTTTTAAAGAATATTTTATTTCTGAAAATATTAGTGGGGTTAATTATATATTATGTACATACTCTGAATTTTGACAGGCTTAGAGAAATATTTTGATGATACAGTGTTTTTATTGATTAGCCATATAGTATTACTTAATTTATCAGCAAATTAGAGAAGAGATTGTTGTTATATTTGTGTGTCTCCACTCACAGCTCCCTTGATATTGAATAACCAATTTTTTTTGTGTGTGTGTGAGGAAGATCAGCCCTGAGCTAACATCCAATACCAATCCTCCTCTTTTTGCTGAGGAAGACCAGCCCTGGGCTAACATCCATGCCCATCCTCCTCTACTTTATATGGGACGCCACCACAGCATGGCTTGACAAGCAGTGCGTAGGTGCGCCCCCAAGATCCAAACCTGCGAACTCCGGGCCACCGAGGTGGAGCCTGCACACTTAACCGCTTGTGCCACCAGGCCGGCCCCCCAACTTTTTAATAGTAGTTTTACTGTACAGAATTGATCCTTTTACTTCTCTTGAATTGCTTGATCATTTATAAAAAGTATTGTTATAAAAGCAAACACAAACTATCAAAAGTAATACAGTTATTGTGCGTGTGTGTGTGTGCCACCTCTCCTGGTTTATGCCTGCTGCAGGATAAGAGTCACTGGTGCATGGTGTACACTAGTAACTAGAATTACAGTCATTCAGATCTGTAGGAGCAGTCATCATCATATGTATAAATGGTTATTTTATTGGAACTCATTTAAGTAGGAAGTAAATTTACCTCAGAAAAAATTAAATGTCATTTTTTTCTCTCTTCTTCCTGAATATATAAGCAGAAGAAACCTTATCAATAGATGCATTATTGTTGAGTTAGGATTCTTGTATGTTTTTAAATAGAACATTTTGTAAAAACATATTGGGTTAAAGTAATTAGTTTGTTAAAACATTTTTTAACTTAATGTATGTCACTGGAAAATTACTCTTCCTTTATTTTGTACAACAGTGTGAATTTATTTTTATTTATTTATCTATTTTTGCTGAGGAAGAGTCGCCCTGAGTTAACATCTGTGCCAGTCTTCCTCTATTTTGTATGTGGGTCGTCGCCACAGCATGGCCACTGACAAGTGGTGCAGGTCTGCACCCGGGAACCAAACCGAACCCAAGCTGCCAAAGTGGAGCGTGCCAAACTTAACCACTAGGTCACGAGGCTTGCCCTAGAACAGTGTTAATTTAGAAAGTGGACAGCAGTGGTTTCTTTGACACCAGAAACAACTAAGCCCACACCTTTCAGGACCTTGGATGCATACCTACACAGGAGGCTTTTTCTAGATCTTCCATTCCTGTGAAAATGTACACTGCAAATGACAGCATGGATTTAAGCAAAGAGAAAATGAGGTTCAATAAAACATTTCATCACATAACTTTAGTCGTTTATTTTTTGTGAAATTTAATCACTTGCATACAATTTTCATGATTTTTGCCATATGTGTATAGCACATATACATACCCTATTTACTTAATATTTTGTCTACCCACTTTTTAACTTAATTCAAAATTTTTAAATGAATTTATTTCAATATAATAAATGGAAAAACTGCCATAAAAAATAAACGTGTTAAAAATAAAGCACTGTTATCAAACTATAGCTAGATCTTGCCAAAGTCTCTGAGCCTAAGGTCAGCTCTCATTTTTTCCCAAAAAAAAAATTTCACCAGTAAGAAAGGTGTTAAAGATATACCAGCACCACACTGGGACTTTCTCCTTGAGTACTCAGAAGAACTGAGTGAGAAATGGAACATAAATACATTTTCAACAGTGTGATTCCATGTGATTTAATGCCATCTCCCAGAACTACACAAAATCATCTCCCTCACTGCCGGTTGTGGGCATCCCCACACTTTGGTAAGCACTGTTATTTTGCGTGTGTGTGTTGCAGGTATGCTTTTTAAAATTAACAACGTCGGGCCGGCCCTGTGGCTTAGCGGTTAAGTGCATGCGCTCTGCTGCTGGCGGCCCGGGTTCAGATCCCGGGCGCGCACCGTCGCACCGCTTCTCCGGCCATGCTGAGGCCGCGTCCCACATACAGCAACTAGAAGGATGTGCAGCTATGACATACAACTATCTACTGGGGCTTTGGGGAAAAGAATAAATAAATAAAAATTATAAAATTAACAACCTCAGGTAACATGTGAAGTCACCATTGTGTTACTAATTGTGAATAACTAATTTCATCCGTTAATATTAACGTATACTATTGAATTTTCTCTGTATGCGTGACATTGAACTCTGAGATCCAAAGTGTGTATAAATTAAAATATGTTGTACAAATAAAAGACTCTAGCAATAATAACAAAAAATTGTTTTTCCTGTTTTTACAGCTTGCAGACCAGGATTCTATAAAGCATTTGCTGGGAACACAAAGTGTTCTAAATGCCCTCCGCACAGTTTAACCTACCTGGAAGCAACTTCTGTTTGTCAGTGTGAAAAGGGTTACTTCCGAGCTGAACAAGACCCACCTTCCATGGCGTGTACCAGTAAGTGTACACATTTTGCATTTGCAAATCCTATTTCCAGCCCTTTTGGTCTCTTTATCCTAAATTTTTTTAAGTATAGATATATAAAATCCTGTACCATCGATGCCATTTGTCTTTGATAACAGTCAAGGAAGAAGTTTCTCTTTGTTCTCAGCATGGTTACTTTTCAACTGCTTCCAAAGAATGTGTGTATTCGTCAGAATTCACATTGATCCTTGACCTGCAAATCCCAGCACTGGTTTGAGGCCCTGTACATTTTCCCTAACCATAATCTGCCCTTAGGAAGTTAAAGCAGTTTAAGGCTACCTGAGAATTTACAAGCAAAACTTCTGCTCTTTACTTCAACCCTTGACCTTTTTAAGGCACATCAGTTTAGGACCATCGAGTTTACTGTGTGGGGGGCTTCCAGATGGAACTTTAAAAGTCATTGTGCTGGGCCGGCCCAGTGGCTTAGCGGTTAAGTGTGCGTGCTCTGCTACTGGCGGCCCGGGTTCCGATCCCGGGTGTGCACCGTCGCACAGCTTCTCCGGCTGTGCTGAGGCCGCGTCCCACATACAGCAACTAGAAGGATGTGCAACTATGACATACAACTATCTACTGGGGTTCTGGGGAAAAAAAAAAGGAGGAGGATTGGCAATAGATGTTAGCTCAGAGCCGGTCTTCCTCAGCAAAAAGAGGAGGATTAGCATGGATGTTAGCTCAGGGCTGATCTTCCTCACAAAAAAAAAAAATAAATAAAAGTCATTGTGCAGTTGTTATGTAGAAAAAGTTGAGTTATTCTTGACATTTGTCTCTAATGGAAGGTATTTTTGAGTTTGTCCATATTTCACTTGTCACTTTCTCTCCAATTTTTGGGTTGAAGTCAATAGAATATTAAATCTAAATGTGAAGATCATTTTAATGCATGTACTGAGAATTTTAAATTATTTGTGTTCTACTATTGTTAAAGGATTGTGAAATATCTGTACGGTTTTCAAAATAAAAGTGAATATATTAATACATTGTTAAGTTATGCAAAAGTAAATTGTCACCTCTTACAAAGTTATAAAAGTCTTGTTAAATTCATAAATAAGATATTATAGTGAAAATTTGCCCTTATTTTTGATGAATTGGTGCCGAAATGTAGCTTATCTTATGTGATTCCATAGAGGCAAAAATAGATTGAGAATTATGAAATGCCACATATTCCTTAGAGACAATGGAGATATCCAATTTCTTTATATGATGCAGTTGATAGATTTGTCTGCATTACTACAGACTTTAATGTAAAATATTTTTATAGATCACATTTAATAAAAATGTAACATTCATTAGTTGATGTCACTTTTGCTTTTTGATTGTAAGTGCTGAGTGACTACTTTCTTCAGAAAATTGTAGCCTGGGAAATTACTACCTCGATATTTTTTTCCCTAGAAACATATTTTAAACTTATAAATAGGGAAAACAAAATTCTAAATATCATTTCTCACTTAATTGTGGAAATAGTTTTGAATAGCAAAAGCTTGCAATTACTATACATATGTAGTCCTTCCTGCACGGTTGCTGTATATGATTATATTATATTGTGGAGAACAGGCTGCGTCTTAAGTAGATGCTGGTATTTCAGATGGCTGCAGTCCTGCAGGGCAAGTATCCTTCATAGCCTATGTCAGAAAGTGAATGGAGCTTCCTAGCTGAGTGATAGAGGAGAATCTCCTGTTTTTATTTTCTTAGGAGCCATAAATAGACACTTGACAAACTGAACGAATAAACTGGTTCTCCTCAATATAACCCTTCAGTGAGGTAGCAGAATAGGTGATTGGGAAGACTTAGCATTCTTAACAGTGACAGACTAGTTAAGGAAATAAATATGGGATGAACAAAGTCTGTGAGCCTGGTAAACTGGCCAGTCATTGTTGAATCAGATATGTATACTTATCAGCTTAACGTTTATGTTTCTTGGTTTTTTTTTCTTTTTCAAAAAACATTTTCTTGTTCTCATGCTTGGTATTGTAACTTATGTTTTTAAAAATGCCAGCCTGCCTTGGCTATACTAAGTGGAAGCAGAGAAAGGTTTCATTCTGGCCGTGTTGGGCAGAGCTTTAGACAGGGAACAGCGTGCTGTGTTGCCATTGGGGATTAAGAGAGAAATCCCCAAAAAGGTTGAAGCTTTGGTCCTGTGTCCCTAGTCCAGCCCCAGATGGCTCCTGTCTCAAGGCTCCACTCTGCTACTTCCTTGAGAACTTCTTTGCTTTATTTTAGCAAAGACTTAGTGTAGTGTACTAGTAAGTTCACCATCTTTTAGGGCCAAATAACCTGAATGTGAATCTTGGTTTTGGTGCTTACTAGCTATTTAACTTTGGGAAAATTATTTAACCTCTCTTAGCTTCAGTTGCAGCAGTAGGTAATAACAGCACCTACCTCATTCTGTTGTTGGCAATGATGAAATAAGTTAATATTTGAAAGAGCTAAGAACAATACCTAGCACGTAGTAGGTGCTACATAAATGTTTGTTTAATACAGAAGGCTGTTCTCTTATGATTCATTTTGAAATAGTTTCTGATAAGCTAGTATTCAAAGTATTAAATACTTTATACGGTTGCTATTATATTGGGCTCACAGCTTCCATCATTTCCATTCCTACAAACTGAAAAAAATAATGTACTGAATTTTTAAGACCTTTTCACACAATATGTTAAGTCCTGCACCTCTATGCCTATCTGATATCAGTAAAGTTTTTTGAATTATGCTCTAATTAGATGAGAGACCTTAGCAATTATCACAATATATGCAGAAAAAGTAAGGACTATAAACTAAACTCCAAAGTATCATGGCTCCTAAAAATGAGAAGGTCATATTGTTGGGGAAGAAAAATCAGGAAAATGACAAGTATGAGTTCATTGAACAATTAGACTTAAGAAGACCAGGGTAAGTTTACAAGATATAGAACTTTAGAGACCAAGAATCAAGCAGTCAACCTTTCCTGACTTTCATTAACTGCAAACAATAGCCAAATTTGAATAGATACAAGCTCCCTTACCTTCTAGATCATGTATCTATGAATCAGCCATTCTTTATCACCTTTATTCCAATGGTGTGTTGTGGAAATGTCAGAATTTGAGTCAGGTAAACAGTCAAGCCCATCACTTCTGGTGTTTCCTCAGTCTTAGCATTTGAGACTATGCTTTCAGAGAATCTCCCAGGGGTTTAAAAGGAGGCATTTTTTTTCCTTAGTATCAGAGGCAGGGAGATTTTGAATGTATGAGTTTAAAAGCAGATGAAGGACTAAAATATTGGAAATAATAAACCAGGATATTTGGCCAGTAAATGGCCTGGTAGAGAAAGATTTCATAGATGTATATAGTCCTCGGTCATATAAATGGTATGATTATGATTCTAAGGACTCCAGGAAGTCTTCCCCTGCTCCTTAGTGCCATCACCAAACAATAACAACAACTCTTAAAAAACGTGATGTCACTATTAAGAGTTTTATAATTTCTTTGCATTTTCACATAGAGATAAGCGTCTTTTTTTATTTCATAATCTTGAGACATAAATAATGTATATGATTTATTCACATAAAGACTTTTTATTGACTTTATTCTTTTAGAGCTGTTTTAGATTCATATAAAAATTAAGAGAAAGTATAGAGATTTCCCATATACCTCCCTGCTGCCACACATGCATGATCTCCCCCATTATCAACATCTCCCCACCAGAGAGGTACATTTGTTACAGTCTATGAACCTACATTGACACATCATGATCACCCAAAGTCCATAGTTTACCTTAGGGTTCATTCTCCTTGTTGTACATTCTATGGGTTTGGACAAATGTATAATGACATGTACCAACCACTGGAGTATCATACAGAGGATTTTCACTGCCCTAAAAATCCTCTGTGCTCTACCTGTTCGTCCCTCCCTCCCATCAACCCCCAGCAACCACTGATGTTTTTCCTGTCTCCATAGTTTTGCCTTTTCCAGAATGTCATATAGTTGGAATCACACAGTATGCAGCCTTTCAGATTGGCCTCTTTTACTTAGTAATATGCATTTAAGATTTCTTCACATCTTTTCATTGCTGGATAGCTCATTTCTTTTTAGTGCTGAATAATATTCCATTGTCTGGGCATAACACAATTTACTTATCCACTCACCTACTGAAGGACACCTTGGTTGCTTCCCAGTTTTGACAGTTCTGAATAAGCTGCTATTAGCATGTATGTGCAGGTTTTGTGTGGGCATAAAGTTTCGGCTTATTTGGGTAAATACCAAACATCATGATTCCTGGATCATATGGTAAGAATATGTTTAATTTTGTAAGAAAAAGACTGCACCATTCTGCATTCTCACCAGCAGTGAATGAGAGTTCCTGTTGCTCCCCATCCTTGCCAGCATTTGCTGTTGTCAGTGTTCTGGATTTTGGCCATTCTGATAGGTGTGTGGTGGTATCTCATTGTGTTTTCATTTGTGTTTCCCTGATGACGTGTGATGTGGAGCATCTTTTCATATGCTTTTTTGCCATCTGTATGTCTTCTTTGGTGAGGTGTCTACAGAAAGATTTTTAGGTGTCTCAAATGGCTACAGTTAAAAAAAAACATGCCTCGTCTTCAAAGCTAATGGTGGGGGGTGATCTGATCCTTCAGTCTTCCATTGGGCCTGGTTGTAATTGTTAATTTTATTTTCTGACATTTTGTTTCCACTAACTCCTTTCTCACAATCGATGAGTATACTCCTCCAAAATAAACGCCTTGGAAAAGCGTCCTTCATTGGCTGTGGCTTCTCCTTCAGTTTTACTTCAGTTTTTACTCTACTGCATTCAGATTTTTGCTCGTCCCTCTACTGCAATCAGATTATTCTTCCACCACTTCAAGTAAACTGTGTAAGGAAAACTCACCAATGATCTTTGCCATTTTGTGTTAGAAACATTTTTGTCCTGTCATTCATGATACATAACTCTGTTGATCACTCCGTTTTTCTTGAAACACCTTTTCCCTTTTATTCTAAGAATTGCGATCT